CAATAGGCCATAAGTGGCCGCAGTACAAGGGACTCAGTTGTACCCCACTAGCAATAACCCCCCCCCCCACAATTAATAATTGAGTCTGAAAATGAAAAATACTGCAGAAGTTTCCAGGAGAGAGAAATGTAGTGGGTAACAGTTCTGTAAGTTCAAGTCAGTACATACTTTCTAATATTTTGACTTTCTTTCCCAAAACAGAGCAACACGAACATACAGTGCCAGGCATATTTTTCCTAATTCACTGAAATCATCTGTTTGGATTCTGTGTGTACAATATGATATGAAATGTGTACATGACAGTCTGATGTTTCACAAACAGAAATAATTATGCTATTTTTGCCTATATTGAATTATAGCTTGGAGCCAGAGAAATAATAATTAAAAAATAATCATTGTAAATAAGGGAAAAAGTAAAGGTATCCCTTTAACAGGCTGCGGAGACCAATTGGGTTGTGAGATGTCAAGGCTTCCACACTTTGCAGATAACTGGCTCACACACAGCAATGGTCAACCTTGTTTGCCAGCCACTCTTTAACCCCAGGAAGACTCCTGGTACTCATTTCTGTTAGAGGCTGAGCCGAACCCAGAGCCAGAGCGCAGCTGGAAGGATTAGGTCAATTGAAAAATCCAATGACATTGGGAACTGAACCTGTGACCTTCTGGCTTGTAGCACAGTGCCTCAACCATGCTACTGCATGCCTGGTAAAGTAAGAAACTACTGCTACAAATGTTGTAAGACTTTAGAGTAGACAAAGATATAGCATACCAAAATGTTATGACTAGCAATTAATCATGTCATGCCTCACATAATGACATTGTCAATCCAGTTAATTCATATGCTGTTGCATGTGTTTCACTAGATTAAGCACAGCACTGGTCAGTAGCACTCAACTTCAGCAAAGAGTTAGAGGCTGTTTCTGATTCTTACCTTGTATGAAGATGTTCCACCTGAACTTGCAAGCTTTCAACTTGTTCTTGTAATTCATCATTGGTGCGTTGTAATTTCCTTAAACACATAAAAAAAAAAGTTCACAAGCTATGGCATATAAAGCGAAATGCTGAAAACACCATCTTAACAAAATTTCAAATTAATGAAATTTTCTTTATTCCCCATTTAGTTCTTTATATATTTAACTTTCTTCTTAACCAAATGGAAATTTAATTCCCAGTGAACATATTTTGTGAGAATTAACCTTTTGACGTGGTCATTTAAATTCCGCGGCCGCGGCTCCTGCGGTAATATATTCAGCCGGCCATTTAAATTTTGCTCGAAAATTATTTATTCATCATTGTTCTTAAATTCTATGAGATAGGAACATGAAACTTTCACTAAAATGATCTTAAAAGGTGGTTTTATAACCTTACCTTATAATATGAACCCCCTTTATATCTTCAATGGAAGCATGTTATTTAGTATTTGAGCAGAGAATGGTACGCCTTGAAGGATGAAACTTTCACTAAAATGATCTTAAAAGTTGGTTTTATAACCTTGCCTTATAATATGAGCACCCGGTATCTCGGCTATGTAAGCAGGTGACGCCTTGAAGCATTAGTCTAAACACAGAGCTGGCTCTCGAAACGACCACCAAGGTCAGTACGATAAAATGGCGTCAACTGGAGCGATAATGAGTACTTTTCCCTCCCCCACACACATCCGTATCGTCTCAGGGGGTGACCACAGTGTTCTGCCTTAAATTGTGGCGTATTTCTAAGAAATGGGTGCTATGTACTGTGCGAAAGCAATCGATTTTACGAGAATAACATTTTGGACAACCCTCTTCTAAGAATTCCAATGGAATGTGTTTGTGTGGCCAGCTCAGGGCAATATGATATTATATACAACAGCACACATCACCTCTCTGGTGTTTATTACTTCACAAGCAAAGCAAATACGCCATTGAGTGACGAAACCGCTACAAGAAGCAACACGAATTTGCTGCAAGACAGGCATATGTAACGATGACTTATCTCAGCTAAACTCGTTGGCTTAGTATACTCTGTTCTTGTGACAACAGGCCAGCGAAAAATCCAACAATCTACAGCAAAACCATCAATTATTATGGGCGTTATAACATAGGTGTGCAGCTGGACGAAACATACACGCCGAACCCCCCCAGACGATTTAAATCCCTGACGAAACATACACGACGAACCACGGCAACGGGTTAAAAGGGAAAGTATAACTTAATATACAATAAAGCACAAAGGTGCAGAAAATGCGAAAAGATGGAGAGAGAGACAGAGAAGCAGGATAATGTAAAATGTGTTCATTCACATACCAAGCACACAGCAAGAGAACTACAATTACAATAAATATGAACTCAGTTGCTGCAGATACAAAGAAACTAAATCCTATAAATCAATTTCAATTCACAATATTTTGAATCATCTGATATTAAATTAATAAGGTTTTACTGAAAAGCATATCCTGTGAAAACTTTTTCTGTGAGAATTTCAAGCTCAAACTGCTAATTTATATCGGTAGTAAGCTATGTGTTAATAAAAGTTATTTTGAAGATCAGCTATAGTTTCTATATTACAGGACATAAACTGACCTTCCCAAAATACTTTAGAATTGAAGGCAGAATCTGACATGATGGTGCCATTGGATCCCCCTCCCCCTAGACTCACTGAAGAAATAAACAATACACACTACTTATACTCATATTAAAAACTGAATCCCATTCACATGCTGGAGGAATAGAGACTAATGTAAACCTGATGTTATTGGAAGCACTATCCACTTCATCTTCAGCAACTGCCAATTCTCTTTTCAGCTCTTCCACTCTCCCTCGTAACCGCTTAACCTCAGCTTCATACTGTTCTGCTCTGCGCACAGCATGTGCCAGTTCTGTAGACTTGTCTTGGAGTACCTTCTTCAACTTCCCATGGGAATGCCTCAAATCTGACAGTTCCTACATCAGACAAAAATTATATTGAAATAAATTTAAACCTTCAGCATTTCTACTTATATATACGGGGAAGTCAAATGATAACAGGTCACCACGCATAACTCACATGGTGCGCAAGTTGGTAACACTGGGATTTGCTTACGGTATGAACAACTGGTGGGGACTCGGGAAAGCACAGTGACAACATGCTCTTGCACACTAGTCGTTTGTTAATTGTGGTGGAAGTAAGGTTAGCGCTACGTGTGGCCATCCAACATCAGTAATGGAGGTGGGTAAAGAACAGTGAAGTGTAGTGCGCTTTTTGACTACTGAACGAGTAGGATGATGAGAAATTCATCATCGCATGTCTGTTGTTTACAGCGAACACAGCATGTCATGTTCACATGTGCTGGCGTGGTATAAGAGATTCCGTGAGGGACGTGTCACTGCAAGATGATGCTCGCCCAGGACAGGCTCATCATGTAATCACTCCTGATATTATTGCTGTGTTGGATGGTCATATCCAGGCAAACCGACGGATCATTGTGGAAGAAATTAGTCTTTTGATGGGAATTAGTCACGGTTCCATACACATCACTGTCACAAAACATCTGCTGTACCGCAAAATCTGCGAGCAGTGGGTTCCACATCAACTCACGGAGGAACAGAAGACTCAGAGAATGGCTGCATCACTGGGTCACTTGCAACAATACCATGAGGAAGAGTATGCTTTTCTGTCCTGTACTGAAACTGGGGATGAAACCTGGTGCCTTCATTTTGAACCCAAGAGCAAATGGCAGAGCCAACAGTGGAAACACGTGAATTCTCCCCCACCAAAGAAATCCAAAGCCGTACACACAAGTTCCGGTAAAGTGAAGATGACATTCTGCTTCAACTGCAAGGGCCATCTGCTTGTCGAATTTCTCGAGCATGGGGCCACAATCAGTGCACAGCGCTATGAAGACACTGTGCAGAAACTGAGATGTGCCCTAAAGTCAAAACGCCCTGGAATGCTATCGAACGGCATTATCCTTCTTCATGATAATGCGCGCCCCCACACTGCCAACTCTGTGAGGAATACGCTACAGAGATTTGGTTGGGAAGTGCTTCAACATCCCCCCTACAGCCCAGATCTCCCCCCATGTGATTTTCACATTTTTGGAGACCTGAAGAGAGACATTCATGGACATCGGTTTGCATCGGACGAAGACGTGTGTGGCTGGGTAAAGATGTGGTTCCGTAGACAGCCCACAGGCTTTTTCAAGAATGGGATTGACCGTCTTAAGTGTATTAACAGTTTTTGAGATTACTTTTGAGGTAAGAAATGTTCTTTAATATGTTTTGGCTTCTAACCCATTTTCATTTGACTGCCTCTCATACACACACACACACACACACACGTATACTCGTATGTATACCAAAGAACTAGATGTAGCTACATTTCTCTGGATGCTTGTTTCCTTGCTCTTTAATTATTTCCTCTGATTTGCCTAGGTAACAGAGTTGAGTGGTAGGTAAAGATGAAGCAGTCCCTCTGTTTAAGCACCATGCCATGAAGATAAATGTGGAAGTTGAGGTAAGCTTCCATGGCCTCTTAACCTTAGCACTAGATGGGCAATGGGCAAATTCACACTCCAGCCCAGAAGAAAGGGCCCTCTGTACCAAATGCAAAGGAGGATGGGTAAGCTTCAAAAGAACCAGTCTGGGTGCAGTTGCAAAGGAGAAAATTGGTGTCCTTAGCCAGGAACCAAGCACTAGTCATATGCCCCATAATATGTCTCTTTACCAACTGAACTAACCCAGTTCACTGAATGGTAGATGACTGTAAACAATGCATGAACTGGGAATGATCTGGAAGAAAGTGGTCATCGCCTATTTAAGTTACCATTCCAGAATTGACCTGAACAGACTGATGGAAACTACGAAAGCTGTTACAATAGCCAGCCTTTAGGATGAGGTTTTCACTTCTTGGATCTCCAAAATATGAAGCAGGAATGTCAACAAACTGCAATATTTAGCAGTTTCTTTGGTATTTACTACTTTCCTGCAGTACTAGGTGTGAGAATGCAAATGATGAACAATTTTCAGAAATCACCAGTAATGACACAGTGTAATGCCTACAGGTAACCATGAACCAAATAACATATCAATTTACTAACCTTATTTCTATCAGCAAGATCCTGCTGCAATTGCCGAACATCAGTATCAGTTGTTGATAATGGACGGCCTTTCTTCTCCAGTCTTTCCTGCATGTCCCGGACCTCTGCACGTAATTTTTTGTTGTCTCGTTCCAGTCCTAATTTTTCTGTTTCTAGTCTCTCCCGCTTTCCCCATTCTGCAGCATTCTCTGCCTGCAAGCGCTCCAACTGCATTCACATCATAAACTTTATCATCATTACTACACAGTTACACATGCAAATATGCATTACAACAACTTAAAGTATATGCACACAATTCCACTGGTATGAAATGGGTCATGGTATGTTTGGTTTCATGTCATTATTTGTGGAAAATCTCATGGCAAAAAACTCCATCCAGTGAACTGCTAAAAATGCACGAACAGGCTTTTCTGTGTTTCACTTTACTGGGGGCTGCTACACAGCAAGCACACAAAACACATATCATACTAGTTGTTACTCATCACATATTAGATTTTGAAAACTCCAAACCGTCTCAAAACATGCTTATGAATAAAAACATCTTTGTTCTTACATTCTGCATAGACAAGTACTTAGGCATCCCTGGCTAAAATTACAAGTTCAACAACTTCATTTCTTTTCTTGTGAATCCAGGACATAATATTACACATTTTCTTCTCCTCCATTTTTCAAATAACTATTTGACGGATACATTCCTGTTACCATATTTTGAGATGTCTGTGGATAATTCAACAGCTTCCTTTTTTGTATAAACTTTCATTTCTGTCTCCAAAGTTCAGAAGGTACATTTCATGTGCAACATTTTGAGGCATCTCACGCCATTAAAATTCAAGAATTACTTCTTAACAGAACACTTAGTTTAAAGAAAACATTTTATTATCCATGTCTGTCTCTTAATGAGAGTAAGTTTCTTGGAAACATATTTCTAAGGCATCCTCTGACTAATTTTACAATTTCAACCTACCTGTGTTTCACACAATAGACAAGATGAACAATTTTGTTTTCTTTGACTTATAACTTAGAAATTCCCAGAATTTGAATTGATGGCAATTTACTGGTCACTAAACAAAGGACCTTTACATGTTCAATGAGTATGACACCTTAGTTGTGGTTGTTGTTGTTATTATTATTATTATTATTATCATCATCATCATCATCATCATCATCATCATCATTATCACTATTATTATTGTTGTTGTTGTTTGTTTGTTTATTTGTCAGCATTAATGTGGTTTTCCTCAAGTGCTTGCCTGTAATTTGTCTTTGAATTTATGTTGTGATTGTCCATAATGTAATTACTTGTATCTACACTGTGCTCTCTCTGTAATGGGCCTTGTGGCTGTTGACTCGGCGCATAAATAATAAAGAAATGAACTGAATTATAATTATAACAGAATCTGGCAGAAATACCTAATGGTTTTAAAAAGAGAGCATTAATATAATTTTCATGTTGGATCTTAATTATACAAAACAGAGGCGTTTTCTTTAAATACAGACACATTTAAAAAACTTTTTTCTTATTATTATTCCTATTTCTTGAAAATAAATCAGATGAGCTCTGTCAAACAAGATGAACTACCAAAATGCACAGTAAAGCTTCTCATTACTAGCTGCAACATCTAATACACAAACTTTTCAATCTATTCAAGGATTCACGTTCTAAGATTGTGAAGGGTCTTGTACTCTTAGTCTGAGAAAGTGGTTCCTGTTCCATTCTCACACACACCACTGTCATTTTTACATTAATATTTATGAGGGAGAGGCCATCTCCAAAAATATTATACATAATGGGCACATCACTCAGTAAATATTACACCACAGTTTCTTACTGAAATGTATTAATAAAGAATCTTCATTTGAAGGAGCAGGAGAAGGAGCAGGAGCAGGAGCAGGAGAAGTAGTTAGAGAAAAGCAGGATTTTGAACCATATGAAAGATCATCAGTTCATGCAAGGTTTTGGAGTGATATCATGTTGCAGTTCAGTTTAAAAGCTGTACAGATCCAGGAACTGGCTTGAAACATTTCCAAATTAGTTCAAATTTGTTCTGATAATGTAGTAAATAAGAGAGACTAACTTCAAATGTCGACATAAATGTAATAGGATAAAACTATAATACGATAAGCACACTGCAATGCATAAACAATATGTAAAAGGATTATGGCACAAGAACCTTAATACTGTGACATGTTAGTGACTAGACAAGGGGTTTGCAATGGTAATTGGATTTGCTGGACTCTTATAAATCATAACTACAAGTAATTATAATATTCTCACTAATTCACACAATTAACTAATGACTACAGCACATGCTGAGTCTCACTGTGTTATAGCCTTCACTAGTCATTGCTTGATTAGGTTCCCAAGAATTTAGATTGTTCTACTCTCATGCTTATGTCACTGCCAACAGGCTACCATCACACAATTAACTTACTGTTCTAACTGTGGGTTCTCAATTAACTTCTAACCCGCTGGTGTCCTCATTATATAGCCCCATATCAGACTGCATTCTTCTGTTGTTGTCTATGTATCCATTACTGCAATACTTGTTTCTTTAACTGTTTACCACACAACAGTCAATGTAATCACATCACAATATGAACAGCTATTTGGTTCTATATCGATAATTCTGTTTTTCCTATAAAAGTATAATTTGATTTCTGAACATCCAGGAAACAAGGTGCTTTTGGTTTTGCAGACATACTTTATCAAACTGATACCAAAAATACTGAATACTGTTCCACTCGATGGAAGTTGTTATTCTCTGCATGAAAAAATTTTTCACGACAAAATTAACAGGAGAGTCCTACAGCACTTCCATGAACAATGTGATGCAGCCAAACAGAAACTACAACACCACCAACCATCATCTTTCTTTTCTGCGCAGAAAACACCACTTCCAACAGTTACTCCATTGTTGGCTGCGCCACAGCTCAAGCGGTTAGTCGCTGGCTTCCCACTGCGGCGACCCAGGTTCGATCCCGGGTCTGGTCAAGTGGGATTTGTGGTGGACAAAGTGGTGCTGGGGCAGGTTTCCTTTGAGTACTTCGGTTGCCCCTGCCAAACCCCATTCCAACAATTTCTCCACAGTCACCCTCACCTATCATCTGGGGCTGGTACAATAGGCCAGAACTGGCCGCAGCACAAGGGACTTAGTTCCACCCCACTAGCAATAATAATAATACTCCATTGTTACGTGTTACACAGCTGTTACCTAGCAATGGCTGTTCATCTGCATCCACAGTTCTTGTTTTGAGCAAATATGTCACAATACCATCAAACGAGCAAGAGGAGCTGGGAGTGTTGGGTGAACAGATTTTTGAGCAATACTGCAGCCTCTCCAGATGACTCTGGAGGCTGAGGAAACCAAGCTTGACTTGGACCCTGCACAAAGGTTCCGGAATATGCTGTGCTGGGGTAAAAGTGTGTTAAATTAACAGGTTCAGTCTGTCTACACTTAGAGGTGGTGTAAAGCATTCACATATGGTAAAAAAATGTAGCAGAAAGTAAGTAGTGAGTCTCAAGCTGGTAGAGACAAGACAGTGCAGTGAAATTTAGTGAAATAGTAGTGAATTAAAATCAACTGACATCAAGGCTGCAAACGACAAACTGAAATATCTCTTAAACACAAGATAAACTTTAAAACATAAATGGATTCAACTGGCTGAAAACAGAATCCATTGGCAGACCCTTGTAAACACAGCAATGAAACTTCAGTTTCCATAAAATGGAGGGACTGACTTTATCAGCCCACTGGCCGTTATCGTCTCAAAAATGGCTCTATGAAGTTTGAATATGAAGCATATTCATATGAAGAAGTTCAAAACAAACCATTCTACACAATTCCAAGAATATAAGCGCTAAATGTTACTGCCAGGTCACGTGTGTCAAGAACAGCAGTTTTATATTATCACTTGTCAGTAACACTTCCTGTGCATGAAAGTGTGTATCTCATATCCCTCTAACATACAAGTTAATTTTGAGGGTTAATGGGGTCTGACACATTCTGGTTAATGAGTTACACTGCACACAGATCAAGAAAGGTACTGTGTACACATTACCTGCCGGACCAAGTTTCACTTCCTGAAAAGAAAAAAAGTATCTCACAAATTCTTTTACACATTTATATATTTGTTTACCTGTATATATTTAACCCCTACACTGCTGTCAATCTCTGAAAAACATGGCGTCCTTGCTGTGATCGACAAAACCTGTGTTGCGGCTTTAAGAGTTTCAAATTTCAGGTTTCTCTGCACCAATCTCATTCAAACTTGGTGGGTGCATAGAGTCATCTATTGGGAACGTAATGAAGCATCATTCATTTCAATTGCTGCATTCTTCTGTCCTCTAGCTTAAGAAATTAAAAGGCTGCATCTGCACAGCGAGGCACGCGCTCCGTGGTCATGTGGCACGGGTATTTTACAGGGCTAGTAAAAGTGGCTTTGTATAGTTTACGTTGTTTTCTGTCCGATGAAGAACTTTTGGTTGCCGTAAATACTGTAGTATCAGAGGATGAATATTTAGAAACTGGTGATTTTGAGAGTGAATATCATCCTAGTGATAATGAAGACAGTGATAGTGCAGTAATTGATCAAGCAGCTCCACAACCTTCGAGAAAAAGAAATTGCCCCAATCCACCATTGCTTCAGTGGCATAGTGGCGCATTCAATCCAATAATTCACGTATTTGATGAGAGTGTTTCGGGAATTTCTACAAAAAAATTCAAGATGAACCAACTGTTTTGGATATTTTTCTCGAGAAATTATGCAGGAAACAGCATTGCAAACTAACAAATATTAACCATTTGTGACAGACAAAATTCCAACATCGGCAGGTTCAAGGCTACAAAAATGGAGAAATATGACAATAAAAGAATTACACGTTTTTCCCTCCATTACAATGCTTATGATTAGGATGAAAAATTATCAATATTAGACTATTGGTCTACTGATCCCCTATTTGCCATCCCCCAATTTTCTGATTTTATGGCTAGGGACAGATATTCGTTATTATTGAGACTGTTACATTTCAGTGATAACAAGAATCAGCCTAAAGGTGATTTTCTATACAAAATAAAACCCATCATCGACCATCTCAAAACAAAATTCAATCAAGTTTTTATTCCATTTCAAAGTCTCTGCTCTGACGAAAGTCTGACACTCTTTAAGGGTCGACTTTCATTCATACAGTACATTCCATCTAAAAGACAGATTTGGAATAAGGACCTTCATAATTCGTGACTGTGAAGCAGGATATGTATTAGATTTTATTGTGTACACAGGGGCAACTACAGAAATAGTACCTGATCATGAATTTGGAGTATCAGGTGCTGTTGTAATGACACTTATGGAGAAATATTTACAGAAAGGTCATACACTGCGGATATATAACTGGTACTCGAGTCCACAATTGTATGAGCATCTCGACACCAACAAGACAAACAGAAAAGGAATGCCTAAATTTTCAGAAACAAAATTAGATATATGTGGGGCAATCCAAAAGTTACCGAAATTTGAATTTTGCGTGCGAATGGTTATGAGTATATTGAAATACCGTTAGGTGTCTCCTCACACATCCTTCTTGAATCAGTGTGGAAAGCGGCGTCAAGTTGAGTGGTTGGGTTTATTGTTGGTGAACATATTTCCATTGTTGTGTTTCCGGTTTTGCGATGGCTGACCTGAGAGAGCAGTGTCTATATAAAGTTTTGTTTCAAATTTGGGAAAACCGCTCCAGAAATGCACCAAATGTTGAAGCAAGCTTTTGGTGAAAACAGTTTAGGCCAGACACAAACTTACAACTAGTATAAACAATGGCCAAACATTGACTGATGATGACGATCGTTCGGGACAGCCGTCAACAGGAAAACACCAGAAAATGTTGCGAAAGTTAGGGATCTGATTCTGCAAGATCGTAGACTGACCATCCAAGACCTCTGTTAACACCTTGGGACTAATTTATGGTACATGTCAACGAATTTTGTCGGAGGAAGTGAACATGAGGAGGATTGCGGCGAAGTTTGTGCCACGACTGCTGCAAAATGAACAGAAGCAGCATTGCTTGGAAGTCTGCAGGGAACTTCAGCAACAGCTTCAAGAGGATCCAAACTTTCTTTCGAAGGTTGTCACTGGTGATGAAAGTTGGGTTTATGGCTATGACCATGAAAGCAAGCAGCAATCATCAGAATGGAAGAGCCCTTCTTCACCTCAGCCACAAAAAGCTCAACAAGTCAAGAGCAACATTAAGTCCATGTTGATCTGTTTTTTTATACTGACGGAATTGTTCATAAGAAGTTCGTCCCTCTTGGTCAGACAGTCAATAAAGAGTTCTATTGCGATGTTCTAAAGTGTTTGAGGGAGAACATGAGGAGAAAACATCTAGAGAAGTGGCGCACGAATGACTGGGTACTCCACCATGACAATGCATGACCGCATACGGCTTACATTGTGCAGGAATTTTTGGCTAAAAACAAGATGGCAGTTGTTCCCCACCCACCGTACTCGCCAGACTTAGCTCCATGCGACTTCTTTCTCTTCTCCAAGATGAAAATCAAGTTGAAGGGGTGAAGATTTGATATGGTTGAGGAAATTAGAGTGGAAACGCAGACAGTACTAAACACCCTAAGAAAGAAAGACTTCCAGGATGCATTTGAAAAGTGGCAGAAACGCTGGGATTGGTGTATGTGCTCCCAAGGGGACTACTCTGAAGGTGATGGTGCAGAATAAGATCTAGGCAAGATGTAATAGTTGTTATTAATATATTTTGGGAACTTTTGGATTGCACCATGTAGAAAAAACACATTCAAGATCAACTGATAAGATGATTGCTGTCAGATGGATGGACCACAGGGAAATTTGCATGCTGACTACACTACACTCAGATACCATGAGACAGACAGGGAAACAGAATACACACATAAAACAACAAACAGAGAAACCACACTGTGTCATTGACTATAACAAGAACATGGGAGCAGTTGACAGGACAGTCATGATGATCACCTCTATCGAATGTGTAAGAAAATCGCTGAAATGGTATAGAAAATTTTTTCTGCACCTCTTGAACATCACTGTCTTCAATTCACATGCATTTTTCAATGTAAAAACCGGCAAGAACATATCTCTAGCAGATTTCCAGCTTCAACTCATCGGACAGATCATCCAAAACTACCATCTCCCTAAACAAACAAGTAAAAGAGGACGTCCTTCAGATGGTGACCAACCACTCAGGCTTACAGAATGACATTTTGCATCTCCTGCACCACCAACACCAAAGAAAAAGTATCCTAACAAGCACTGTCATGTGTGTTCAAACACAGCAACTGGAGAGAGAAGAAGACATGAGAGCTGGTACATGTGTGGCAAATGCAATGTGGGCCTCTGTGTACACCCCTGCTTTGAAAAATATCATATATTAAAAATTTTTTTAATGTTCATAGTGGAATGTGTAAATATTGTAATGAAACTACTACTGACAGTATTTACAGTTTTTATGTGCATATTACATTATTTTGGACAGGCCTGATTTTGGTTTAAACTCTATAATAGTTTTAAATAAAGTTGTGGACTTTGGTCAACACATGACATAATGTGACTGTGATATAAATACAGTGATTCTAGGATAGTGAATTATGTACTTTTTTGGCCATCCTGGACAACACTGATTTAAATGGACTTTTCCCCTGTGAAAAATACTGAATAATTCAACATTTTTGCAACTTCTGCTGCCTGTTCCCTGTCTGAGGTAAGATTAGTTACATTTTATCACACATTTTCATACTTTGCACTTAAATTATTTATAAAAGATTTATTCAAAAATAATTCAGCACAGAGGGTACTGAGAGTTACTTAACATACTAGCAGTGAAAGAGTTAATGACACTGTAAGCCAGACAACATAGCACTGAATGACTGGATGACAGTGAGCAATGAACTCAAACTGAACACCTCCCAAATATGAGCAGATACATTACTGCCCATACAAACTTGCTCAGTGGGTTTACTTTCATTGTTAGGGATGTCTGGGATGTAGATACCAGTGACTGGCAAAACTGTGAAAAACAATTGTAACCAATTACAAATTCAAAACAGAAATATTACAATGGGCCTCACCTTCACTTGTGAGCTTTGAAACACATCCAAATTTCATGTCAACATAAAATAAACCAATCCGCCAAAACAGAAGAAATAAAGCATGATTCATTTATATATATAGAAGCACAGTGAAGGATGTTGCTAGCCATCAGAGAAACAGACGCACCCACTGCCGACCCAACGTGATTGGACCAGAGGTATGCTCAGCAGAAGTGTTGCCCACCTCGGTGCGCAGATCAGCAAGTCGTCTGTCCATGCCTTCACGAGAGGTAGCCTCATCCTGCAGATCCAACTGAATGAGCCGCACTTGATCCTGATGCTGGTCCTGCAGCAACAGCAACTCCCGAACCACCTCCTGTTTCGAAGCCCGCAGATCTTCACATCGGTCCTTCAGCTCCTGGACCTCTACTTGCATCTTCTCTAGACCACGGTGAAGCAAGATCTTTTCACTGGCAGGAGAGACAAACAAAGCAGTTTCAGCTCACTAAGTATCACTCATTCATTCTTTCATTCATTCATCAATGGCTCTACAGCCCTTTCTTGGGCCCTGGCCTCTTCTTCAGTTTTGTAATCCTTTTACACAGATAGCAGGACTCCTTGGACGAGTGATTAGCCCATCACAAGACCTCTACCTGCACACAGGAAAACACAAACATTCATGCCTTGAGAGGGATCTGACCCCATGATCCCAGCATTCGAGCAAGCAAAGACAATTCATGCCTTAGACCACTCAGCCACTGTTATCAGCTAATTGAGTATCATTCTCAATAACTGTAACTTAACAGGTTTAAATAAATATTTAATTTATGATATTTTAATGTACAATAATTTAATAATTAATATGGCATAATATTACATGTATGTGATATCTAAAAGAGCTCTTCGTATGAATCTAGCATTCAAATTTCCTCTAGATTAGTATGCTGAAAGGTATCTGACAAGGGCACACCAAAAGCTATCTACAACAATTTCAGAAATAAGGTATTTATTATTAAAGACTTTAGGTCTTCTGAATAGAAGAGAGCCAAACCAGCTCTAATTATTTTCTTGCATGACACTGTACCCCCTGTCTTTTAAAAGAAAAAAATCATGATTGTGTGATTTACCTTAGTTCATTTAGCAACATTTTCTGAAAGGCAGATGGTTACAACTACATAAGATGATAGAATAATACTGTGGCCTATTTCAAACCATAGTACCTTGCATACAGCACCTACAGAAACTGAGGAAAATAATGAAAACTGTCAGTTACAACAGCCACCTAAAGTTCCAAACTGGTACCTCCCAAACACAAGTCTAGAGTATTGTAGTTACAAGTTAGGTAACAAAATTATAAGAGAGCAGTTATACAGTTATATATATCCCACACATAAACTAGGGCTATTCAGAACATACCCTCTGATGAGCTGATAACAAAACAAGCAAAGAGAAAATAAAATTTTGTTATATACAAAAAATACATACAAGCTTAAGCTACTTAACAATGTAGTCACCGCCTGACAAGAGGCACTCGTGTGTCTGTGTCAAAGAAGTCTGCCACCTGTGAGCTAAGCCACATTTCGAAACCTTCGATTAACTGCTTGTTAGTGAAGCCCTGTAATCCCAACCAATTCCTCAGGTAGGTAAACAGATGGCAATTGCTCAGAGTGAGATTAAGACTATAAGCAGGGTGGTCAAACAGTTTCCAGTTGAAACTCTCCAGAAATGCTCGAGGATGAGCAGCTGTATGTGGATGTGTATCATCATGGAGGAGCACATCAGATGTCAGCTTTCCATGCGTTTTGTTCTGAATGGTCCTATGAAATTTTTTTTAGAGTTTTGTAATAAACTTCTGATGTTACTGTGGTCCCTTGCTGCATGAATTCTGCCATCAGCACTCCTTTCCTTTCTCATAAAGCAGATGCCATCAGCTTTTGGCCAAGCAGATGTTTGTTTAAACTTCTTTGGCTTGATAGTAGAGTGAATTTACCGACTACACAACACATTTTTTATTATCACTACATGTTTCGACCTTAAGAGGTCATCTTCAGGTGTATGAACATGGCTGTATAATTACACGCGGTCACATTCACTTTTCACTCATTCGACCCTGTATCTTATCCAGACTTACGCTCACTAATATATCGAGTTATTTTTATAAAACACAGTTTAAAATTATTATTTTAATTTAATTGTTAAAAGTTCGTGAATCCAAGTTCAATTCATGTCACTGGTTACATTTTCACTTTTTTTACAGTCTCATTTTACTTATGCTCACTACTGTATCTAGTTTAATTATTATTATTGTTAAAAGTTCATGAATTAAAGTTCAACTTATGTTATTGGTTGCACTTTCACCTCACAAACAAGTGAAAGTGCAACCAATAACATAAGTTGAACTTTTAACAATAATAATAATAATTAAACTAGTTAAAGAGAACTAGATACAGTAGTGAGTGTAAGTAAAATGAGACTGTAAAAGAAGTGAAAATGTAATCAGTGACATGAATTGAACTTCGATTCATGAACTTTTAACTTTTAACAATTAAATTAGAATAATAATTTTAACCTGTTTTATAAAAAGAACTCGATATATTAGTGAGCGTAAGTCTGGATAAGATACAGAGTCGAATGAGTGAAAAGTGAATGTGACCGCGTGTAATTATACAGCCATGTTCATACACCTGAAGATGACCTCTTAAGGTCGAAACATGTAGTGATAATAAAAAATGTGTTGTGTAGTCGGTGAATGCACTCTACTATTGATTAAACACACAACAGGATGCAAGAAACGATTAAAATTCTTCGGCTTGTTTGGTGAATGTGTGCGCATCCTCTACTTCGACTGCTCTTTGGTTTCAACATTTACAAATGAAACCCAGTTATCACCGCCTGTTTACTAACATGATGTGACTATGAAATTCATCATCATCACTGTGGTATCCCTCTAAAAATTCAAAGACAAAAAGCCATTTTTAGCGCTTTGTGAGCAGCCATGAGCATACTGCACAAAACTTGAGACAGCCCAGCCTAACTGTGATAATTGCATAGAGAACAGTGAGTGAGTTTTGTGGAAATTCACATGAAAGTTCTGAAGTTGAGAAGTTCCATCCTTCACAAATTTTTTGGTCAACACTATGAAGAAGATTAGCACTCAATACAGATGGCTGACCAGTTAACTCTTTATCATGAACATTTGTTGGCCCATCTTTGAACATTCTACACCACTGTCTTACAGTTCCTTCACTCATTACACTTTGGCGATAAACCACATGTAATTCACAATGGACTTCCACAGCACTCATGTTTTTAGCATGAAGAAAGTGGATAACAGTGCAAATTTCACAGATGGCAGGATTATCATTCACAGATGGCAGGATTATCAATCATAGGACACATCAAAACCCACTCTGTTGAGGCAAGTATAGACACTGAGTGACTAGTTATGTGATGGTTTACAAGGCAGTGGGTCATGTGACACTACCTCGCATGAGCGAACTCTCCCCCAGTCCTACATTAGTTGCCTAAAATAAAGGGAGGTTATTTTCCAAATGGCCCTCATATGTAATCCGAATTCAAAAAATATTTGTTTCTTTACAAATATCAGTTTTAGCTGTATTTGTTGTAGTTCTGCAGTCTGTATTTACAGAAATTAATATTTATCCCACATCTTTAAAATGGCATATTTATGGTCAGGTTTTTAAATTTTCATATGGACATCCATAATGTGAGGATGCACTGTGTATGTTCATGCCTCATCTTCAGAATGCAGGGAAAAATCACAACATAAATGCAGCTACTAAACCCTTAAAAAATGTGGCAAAGTTAAAATATTTGGGAATGACATTAACAAAACAAAACTGCATTCTTAAGAAAATTAAGAGCACATTAAAGTCAGTACATGCCTTCTACCAATACATTCAAAACTGTTTATCTTCCCATCTGCTATCTAGAAACAAAAAGATTAAAATATACAAAACTATAATTTTGCCTATCATTTCATATGGGTGTGAAATGTAGTCTCTCAAATAAGGTAGGAACTTAGACTGAGGGTACTTGAGAATACGCGCAACTAAGAGGAAGGAGTGAAAGGAGGCTGGAGAAAACTCTGTAACAAGGATCTTCATTATCTGCAGTTTTCACTAAACATGATTAGGATGACTTGATCACAAAATATGAGATAGGCAGACAATGTGGCACACATGGAAGAAGTGAGAAATGCATTCAAAATTTGATCAGAAAACCTGATGTGAAAAGACCACTTGGGAGACCAAGGAACAAACAGCAAGATATTATTAAAATGGATCTTAAAGAACTGGAGTAGGAGGGTGTGGACTGGATTCATTTGGCTCAGGATACAGACCACTAGCAGACTCTGTGAACACACTAATAAAGCTCAGACTTTGAAAAAGGTGGGAAATTTCTTGAGCAACTAGGAGAATATCTGAGCCTCAAGAAACACTCAGCTCCATATAGTTTGATAACCAGATAACTGCTGAGTTCATACTTCTGGAAATGAGGAAACAAATTAGTGGACCTTATTGAAATAGATCAAATTTATTAATAATGATGACAGACAGAAAGAAAGAAAACCCACTTCACTTACTCTCTTTCAGCCTGAACTGTCTTTGACGCTTCATCCAGTCTAAGCTGCAACATTGACAGCTTTTGGAGAAGATGTTCCTTATCGGGGGAGGGAAGATCACTATCTGCCTGTTGAGAAAATTGTCTATTCATAGGCAATGTGTCATCATTTGTTTTACACTGAAAACCAAGTGTTATTTCAGTCTTATTTAGATTCTGCGTTAATTCACTGCTAACATCCAAACCAAGATCACTTCTACTCACATGATCCAGTCCATCAACATCTCTGTCCACTGCATTTTCTTTGGCAGCAACATACATTTCTACAGCATGCCTTGGGACAGCCCCTTGCAGAATATACTCCTCAATACAAGAGTCCTTGTCTATCACTAATGGGTCACCATGTTCCCGTTCTGGCCTAGATTGCAAAGATTCATTTAAATCAAAAAGGTCAGCACTAAGAGAATTAGCTGCTAGTTCAGTTACATTCTGCAAGCTGGAGGACCCAACTGCACTCCCTATATCAACAGTTTTTGAAGAGACATCATGTTCTGGATCTTCACTTTCCAAAGCTTCCAGCAGTTCATGATCCCACTGTCCTGCATGTTTCAACAATAACAAGTGGATCCTTTCCATTTCCTTCTTTAACTGATCATTCTGGGCTTCCACCTCCAGTTTCTCCCGTTTCACAGCATTTATTTCTTTAAAGGCTGATTCAAGTTTGGTACGCAGCATCTTGGATTCTTCACGGGCTTTATTTCTCTCATTTCGTACCTGAAATATAATACAGAAACTATGTATTACACATGCTACAATATAAACACAGTGAAGACACTTTCAGAAACTGCTTCCTTCAGCCATCTGATTACTCATATTATGCAATGAATTATCTCAGTACATAACACACGCATTAAAAAATAAAGTGAAATACGCACAATACCATCATGAAACAACAATGCACAAAACCAAGTCATACAAATAAGGCTACTTCATAAACTTTCTCTAGTCGAGATCTACCTTCAGAATTAAACGTCACAGCAGACACCACAACAGTCTGGCCATGCCTGTCATGAAGAACTACATTCTACATTCTGATGAACCTGCATATATCCATAAACAGACACCCTCCAGGTTTCACAAGACCTGACTTACACAAATCCAACTTCATGTAAAAATCTCCCAAAATAAATTTAAACTGTTCACGTAAATTTATCTTAGCAAGCAAGTGGACTACTTCATGGTGGAATATGAATGGGTACATACTGCAGTACTTTTACTACCTCTAGAATATCATTCAAGTACATAATATAACAAATACAAAGGTTATTTGGAAAGTAAAGATACAAAGTCCAAAAAATATTTGTAAAACATTTTTCTTGTGGCAATTTTACAACACACCTTTATTTACTTTTCAACACAAGTCACTATGGATTTCAATGCACTTAGTAAGCCTGGGAACGAGTTTCTTATTCCAGCATCGTACAAATCTCCTGCCTGCTCTCTTAGCCATGTCATCACAGCATCTTGAACCTCATCATCGTTCGAAAAAGTCTTTCCAGCCAGACTTTCCTTCAGTTCAGAAAAGAAGTGATAGTCTCTTGATGTAAAGACTGGGCTGTGTGGTGGATGGGCAAATACAGTATGCACCAAATATGCAGTACTGAAATTTGTGCATCTCAAACGCACATGTCCATCTGTCAATGGGGCATAGCTCCAACTGCACGTGTTCCCAGTAGTGAAAAGAAAGTTGTGTTGTGCAGATGTTGTTGGAAATGGGTCTCTCGACAGAGGAAAAAGTATTCATAGTTGAGTATTATTTCTGCTCATACGGAAGTGGTCGTGAAGGAGGACCAAGTTTGAAAAAGGTGACAGAACAATCCCAAGAGAGATTTAATAAGACGGCACCAAGAAACACAGTTATGGTGTCTATTGTTACGAAACTTTGCTATTCTGGTAGTGTACTGCGTCAACGGAAGGGGAAGTCTGGTCAACCAGTAACTGTTTCGACAAAAGGCTGTGCCATAGCTCAAGCGGCTAATCGCTGGCTTCCCACCGTGGCGGCCCGGGTTCGATCCTGGGTCTGGTCAAGTGGGATTTGTGGTGGACAAAGTGGCACTGGGGCAGGTTTTCTCAGAGTACTTCGGTTTTCCCTGCCAATCTTCATTCCACCAAAAAGGAGAGTAACCTATTATGCATCAACTTTTCCAAGATATTCAAGAAAGCACACAAAAGGGATACTGGTCTATAATTTTTCATATCCTTCTTGTCTCCCTGCACGGTATGAGCAGTGTGCGGTCGGGCATTATTGTGCAGTAGAGAGACTTTTTGTGTCAGCATTCCTCTCCACTTGTTTTGAATCAAATTACTACACAAACCTCATATTTGGCAGGATTTTGAATCAACATGGCCATTTTAAACACACACTGCTGTGACTCTTGCCAGTGAACTCTGCCCTGTCATACGGTTCCTATCTCAGATGGCAGCACTACCATTTTTGAAAAAAAAATCCCTTGCATTTTTACTGGACTTTTATCTGTACTTTCCAAATATCCCTCATACATATACTTCTAGTAATTTCTGATATACATAAAATTTCACTTATGTTAAGAGTTTCCAAAATCAAATCCTTATATTAGCATAAATGTCCATGATTTATGCTGACCGTCTTAAAGTGAATGCAGTAGTTTGACGTGCATAGAGACACACCTGAAGATGGCACATTAGTGCTGAAACATGTAGTGTAAAAGTGAAGAGTAAGGTGAAAAAATGTATGCACTGTAAGATGGTTAGCATAAATCATGGACATGAATCAGTGCAACAGGACGCTAAAATATAACATCAGCATAAATGTACCTGTGAATACTCTAGTGTCTAGGTCAAGAATGGTGGAACTATACCTCCATTCCTCAAAAGGTCTTCATGGTATGTTTTACATTATATATAATTCTCATAAGTATCACAATAACCGCATTTACACCCACCATTCACGTAGCCAGGATAGTGTAGTCAGTATCGCGACTGGCTACAGGCTGGATGACCGAGGGGTTGAGTTTGAGTCCCAATAGGGTCAAGAATTTTCTCTTCTCCATGTTGTCCAGATGTTTTGTTATACTTCACTTAAGTTTCACACTTTCTTACAAATCAAATTAAATTTCAACATTTCTGAAGATTTTAGTACAATCACGCTAAAAGGTTAAGCAAATATACAAAGTCTTGTGATTTATCTGAAGCCCATAAACCACATACTGAACTTATTGGCCACATATTCATGTAATTAATTCATGAATTAACCTGGGTAAGTTTCAGGTGTGGGACTTAAAAAAACAAAACAGATTAATATTTTTACATAACTATACCTCAGGCTGGACAAAAGGATACTGTGAGCTGTGTTACCCATGTGTGATATAAGTCTGTACATTACCTTGCTCCACTTTTCTCTCCAATTGGCTGTGCAATCAGACCACCAACGCATAGTTTTCTCCATCTGTGTTGCCCGAGCTCTTGCCTCTTCCAGTTCTCTTTGGCGTAATGCCTGAAACAATTTCCAATTTCACCTTAACAAAAAAACATCCACATTTCTGAGAAGTTTCAATTTAATTTATGGTAAATACTACAAAACAATAAATAAATTTCAGTTCTCCTCCTCCATTTGAACATGCTGGAAGTGAATTCTGCAATCTTAAATAATGATTTAAGAAACTTATTCCTTATTTAATTAGTGGAAATAAAATATTTCATAACACAACACACACAGGTCATTTCAGGTTTTATGTGAAGTTATTTCACCTATAAACTATGAAGCTAATTATGTCATGTTCCTTGAGAAAACAAGTTTTATAATGCCAATATCTGAAAATAGGGACATACCAGGCCTTCCTTATACAGTCAAGATAATCTTCACCAGCTGTTACCCATCATACAATATGCTTCTTATTTCTCATTATCCTGATACACTAAAATGTAAGCTGACAAAATGGACACCTTCCCCATAAATTCTGAACAGAAAGAAATTATATTCATTCAATGATGTCATTATGTCATTCACTGAACAAGGAAATCAAAACATAAAAAAAAAAAACATATGGCAGGAATGTGAGACATCAGGTTGGTACAGTGGTGACTATGAAGAATCTGGGATGTTCAGCTATGTAGTCTGGTAAAGGTTCAATGACGTTTTGGAGGAACGTACAGCCTACATCTCAGGGCTGAAGATAAATCAAGCAATGCAAGCAGTAACCAGCATACACAATGAAGACTATATGGCCATGTGACCCAAACTGATCACAACCTACTTAATTTCATCTTCTACCCTACAGCAAAAGTCTATCAAGACATCAATCTGATACAGGCCCATGAACACCTAAAAAAACATTACCCTTTTCCTCCAGGAGTTGTGATATAACATCATGAACATGAAGCAAATTACACCCAAATAACCGTCACGTGATGGACAAAAAACCAAACCCCCAGCCCCTTCTTCCTAATGATGCTGCTAGAAGTTATAATTTTCATCCTCATGAACCTTACCAAAACTGACATAAAGGTATAAGCTTACAAGGCCCAAACTGGTGTAACACAGTCCACAACTGCCAATGTTTTGGCCACATGTGAATTCACTGTAAGTGCCCTCCCCCCAAATGTCTGGTGAGAGAGTGGCCAACCCCAACAAAAACACTCAGAAAAGGACAACAATGCCTGCATACAGAAGTGCTGCAACTATAAGATGTAGCATCCCAGCAGCTACAGAGCATGTTACTGCTTCAAGAAAGGGTAGAAATGAGCATGCAGTGGCCTACTGCCCCTCAGCTATCCCCTGTTTGGGGCTTCACTTCAAAATTGCAGCACCAGAGAAGTCCTACACAGAAGCTGTTACCAGCCTCAGGCCTGAGGTTACCATTACCAGCAACAAGATGAACAAACTAACAATCACCCAACAAATGCAGCACTGTTCTGGTCATGGTTACAAGTAATAGAAGTGCAGCAGATCATTTTTTCAATCCTGTTGTTTGCTTAAAAGAACAGGAATCTTTGTATTACTAATTACGATAGATATAATGTACAGACCAGACACTGTGAAAATTTATATTTTCCTACTTCCTCTCTATCATTGTTATCAACATGGTGTTTACTAGACCGGTATTCAAATTTTTAATAAGTTACCACTTGAATTAAAAGAGCTGGTACAGATGCCTAAAACTTTTAAGAATTCCTTAAGAAGATATCTGGTGTTGCACTGTTTTTACAAACTGGAGAAATTTTATTGTGTGAATGGTTAATACGGTCTTCTTTTGCATTCAGTTTTTTGTAATCATATTTATTTATGTTCTACGTCTGTGTTATGTATATTTTACATTATGTTGCCTGGACTTGTTCCAGTGATTAATCGGAACATTTGTTCTGATATGTGACTCATTCTATATCCAATGGTTTGCAAATATACTTCTCAACTTGTATCTGGATCTGCTTGAATTTGAAATAAATGAACATGAACATAACGAATCTAATGTCAACAGAGAAAGTCAATCACCAATTTACTTTCAACATGAGAAAATAGGGGCCAACGTTAATTGTACATGCAGCACACTTCACATTTTTGTATGCTTCTGACCCCTTACCACCTATGAATAGGTACCAAAGTGAGAAAAATTGCAAGCAGTTTGAGGTACACAAAAAATCTGGGCAAGATACCGCCAACTGCAATGTGGCCAGGTCGAGTGTTAAGCTTACTTCTGTAGGAGGCAGGTTCCTCTGAAGCAATGGTACCAATCTACCAAACTTCACGGTGTCACATCCCTGTATTCATAATACTTCAAGATAGGGTGACAGGGCAGAAGGGGTGAAAGTTATATAGTAATAATAGGAAGGTGATTGCAGATACCAGAGTTTGACTAACTCATGTATTTTTCAAGCTAAATAAATGCTTCCTTCTCCTCTTCTCAATGACAATATATTGGCCACATGCCATTATCGACAAGAAAATGATCATTACCTCCTTTGCCTCCCATTCTGCGTCAGCGTATCTACTGGAAGAGATGGAAGAAGTATCGTGTTCGTTCCGTCCATGCCTACGTGAAGATGTACCGCTAGAAGTACCTTGCGCCATTCTGGTCCAGAATATCTGGAACAGCTTTGTGCAGGATCTACTCCCTAAGTACGCAAAAAAAATACCACCACAACGAATTAAATTCAATCAAAAGAAAATTAAACACAAAACTTTCCAGACCCTACCACTGTTCCACCACTTACTATTACGTACAATTTAGCTACAAATGTAGCAACCTTTCGCAACCAACACAACCATTTCTTCTTCGTCCATCTTTTTGACTTTTTAACCACGAATGCCAAGGATCCAAAGCATCCCAAGGACGCCACGGACTGTGGACCGTGGAGGAGGTTGAGGACGTTGAGGACTATACGACGTATTCCACGGATCAATAACTGAGAGACATACTGCTAGGGACAGCGGGTTAGTAAGTTTTGCCATGTGAAGAACCTGACTTGCAGGTGTCGCCACCTGCTTTGCACGTATGTCCGCATATGGGATTCAAGTCTATACATTCTATATATCCTATATATTGCTATACACCGTGCACCAAATCCACCATGTACGAATCTGTGACGTCTGTGACGTGACTGTCGAGCCGGTCGACCCTGTCGAGGACGGTCGAGGAGAGAGAAGTGTGTTAGAAAGGTTCTTATGTGAAAATCAGAAATTTTTGCTGAATTTTGTGATTTGCTGCGTGTGTTGTGGTCAGAAGTAACGGAAAATGAAACTTTTGACACATAATATGCTTACATCTAAGTGTCTGAAGGGAGTTAACGTTGGATATCCATTAGGAATTGTGGTTGGTATGCAGAATGTAATAGTTTTTAAAATTTTGAGATGTATATCCTAAGTCATAAAATGCCGGGAAGTTCTTGAGTAGCTGCACAATTAACATCTTCTCAAGAAGGACTCAGCTCCATGCGTGAGTGACATCCGAAGTATTTTACGTCTGTGAAGTCTCAAAGCAGGAGCTATAGTACATAACAAAGTTGTACATCTGAACTATCGGTAGTCGTGTATTCAGACTGAAAAATCACGACTAGGTGTTACACCCGCACTTTATTTTTGTAGGAGCATACAAGTTTTAAGTCACTTACGCGCCTTATCCAATAAATGCCGGCGACTTTTTCCCCAGGAGTAAAACTAGCGTAACGCTAAGCAGACTACTCACCACAAATTAATGTCGAAGTTAAGAATTAATGGAAATATACATCAGCTGATTCTGTAACTTAGAACTTGGCTGTTAAATTGACATGTAAATAAATTATTATTATTATATATTGGAGTTGTTTCAAATAGGATCCTCTCTGTGTCATTGGAATTTCCCCCCCCCCCNCCCCCAATCTCAACACAACTATCAGAATCTCATTCACATTTACTCTGTATAATGAGTGTATTGGTCTTTATAGTATGACAGTCTGCTACATGTTTTGACTTATAAAGCCATCATCAGGCAGTACACACACATTTTAAAACTATTGAATTGCACAATTCACTGGTTATATAGAGAGCACAACAGGATATATTCCTTGAAGATGTACTGTTTGTGCTTTCTGTAATTTGACAGATTATTGCTTGTTGAACTCTAGACCTACAAGGAGTCAGCAGGGAGATCATCTGAGAGTCTGTTATAAATTGTTTGGCCAATGTAGACATGCTGCAGCCATTAACTTGCATCATGTGTGTTCAGACTCGTTGTGTAGTTGGTCCATCAGTTGGCTGGTATAATTGATGCTGGCCCTCACCAGCACAGTCATTCTTGGTGTCAGGTCTCATCTAGATTTATGACAAATTATTATTTTCTCCTAGTCATGTATCTGGGCCCTTCTCTTCGATGAGGGGAGGGGTCAGTCTTTCTGTGTTGGTGCTATATTTGTTGCACCATTGTTAACTGATTTCTGCCTTGTAAATTGCTGCTGGTCTTGCCAGCACGGGCATTCTTGGTTCTAAGTCCTGCAGGACTTTTGGCCATATTTTACTGTCTCAAGATCAAGGCTCCTCCAACCTGGAGGACCTGGTCCTTTTCATCATCTGCAACTCGTAGGGCTATGGTGGAGGTATTCTAACCTGCCTCCACACAGAGTTGTGTAGTCAACAGGCCAAAAGCCTGTGCATATTGTGTCATGATTACATTTGTCTGTTGGGTGGTAACAGCTAGGTAAATATGTTTCCATAGCAATGGATATGTACAGCAATGGAAGAATTGTTGGAAGTGGTGTTTTACATGCAGTGTGTGCAAAGGCTATGTAATTAGAGTATCAGCTGGTTGGTAGTTGGTTGGATAATTGTAGCACCTACAAAACAAGGTTCTCCACACCATTGGAAATTTTCCAAATTGCGTACTGGTCTGCGATTTGCACACAGCTTTCAACCTTCCATATGTGTACGATTATATTACAAATTTGTGTAGACAACAAGCAGAAGCCATACAAAATCATAAGAATGGCCATGTTCACAGCATAGGACACGGTGAAGACAGACATAGAAAATGTAAGGGGGCTCAGACTTTGTGGCTATCAAGCTTAAGACCGTTCAAGTGACTAAGCTGCTGTTGGAGCATAAGATAAGTAAGATAGACATGATCTGCTTTGCAAAGCATGGACTGACAGAGGACTTGTCTATATTACACAACGAAGAATTTTCAATAACATGCTATATGTACGATATGTACACTTGACAAAGGCCAAGCATATTATAAGAGACAAACCCACCCTCTCATCAGAGAGGATGTTGCAGAAACTGGACAAAAACTTTGATTTGTTTCATTCTGGTCTGTCACACTAACAATTACAGAGACAAAAACTGGATGAAACTTGTGCGAGGCTTGAATATTCCCATTGAAAATGAGACACACTGCACAAGAGACCAGAGCCTAAAGTTTCAGGTTTCCTCTGTTTCCAGAAATAATCTTGAATGCAAGGGTATGGCACATTTTTACAGAGGTACAAGGAGTGAGAGTTCTCTTGTGATTTGGGTGGGTTTGTTAATTGCAATACTGCTCTGAAGGAAGAATTACCAAAGGAATTGGTATATCTTCCAATGGACTGGCTGAACAGTTTTCTGCAGGATCTCACATAATTTCCTGGTATAATAGCTTAATTAGTAATTTAATTTAATTTCCATATAACATAATCCAGATAGTGATTTAGGGGTTTTATTAAGATGTGACAGGTCAGAGTAATTAATTCTCAGGAAAATGTAGTTGTAGGAGGAAAGTGAGTCATTGAAGGTTTTTGAGGTGGGTGAAAGTATTTGGAATGTGCTATCCTTAGCAGGCAACTGCAGCAGCCTGGATAAGAATATCAGCTACCCAACTGAAAAAGATATAATGTTGTCAAGAATATTATTTGGAGTATCACAACACTCCACAAATAAGCAATAGGGGAGGAGTATAAATGGTGTCCTTATCTCAGTTTGTAATATTTAATATTTGTAAATGAATAATGTTAAGACTGTGGTGTGGTAGATAGGTGTCAGTGTTTCAGGAGAATGTGCTGCCTTCCTCGAGGTAGCAGGTTCCTGTGAAACATTCGTACCTATCAACCAAACTACTCAGCTTCACATCCCAGAAGGCTGTAATCTTCGTATACACTGCTGTTAATCTCATGTGACAACTAATAGGGATAATTCTGCTTTATTTTTCTTTACAGGCTAAAGACATCAAAGTGCTAGAAACAGAATTTAACTCTGAATTTGTTTTAAGAATAATTCCAAAGCTGGACTGGGACACCCTCTGGAATGCTGCTGATAGTGTGAGTTATAATACAGAATGGAAGTTCCCAGTGTACATTCTACCACCATACAGTATTGTTATGTTTACAAAACCATTATTGTGGTCATATGAAGGGGGATCCAAAAATAACCGGAAACGACCTGTTGCGCATGCATGCTTTGTAGTTACGAGTTGTGCTGCTAGGTGGTGCTAGCTGGGGGTCTCCCGCGACTGTTAGTGAGCTGGCGTCAGTCTGAGTTAAGTGGTTTGTCTATGGTGCTCTGTTGTGTGCGTTCCTGTTTCAACCCTTTGGCGATTAGTGAGATGGCCGACCAGAAGGAACAAAGAGTGTGCGTGAAATTTTGCTTTCTGTTAGGGAAAACTGCACTTCACTCTTCAAGTCGCGGCAAACATTCACCCGGTTTTCTCTTTGGTCATCTCCGAGCAAGCGAGGAACAAATTTTGCAGACACCCGTCTCATGTGCAAACCTTCGGTTAAAATTCGCTGGACCGTGCTCCATGAGATGTTCATTTCCTCAGAAAGTTGGTCAGTGGTCTTTCGACGATCTTCATCAATTTCACGCACACTCTTTGTTCCTTCTGGTCGGCCATCTCACTAATCGCCAAAGGGTTGAAACAGGAACGCACACAACACAGCACCACAGACAAACCACTTAACTCAGACTGACGCCAGCTCACTAACAGTCGTGGGAGACCCCCAGCTAACACCACCTAGCAGCACAACTCGTAATTACAAAGCATGCGCGTGCAACAGGTCGTTTCCAGTTATTTTTGGGTCCCCCCTCGTATAGGAAATTAGGTGTAGATCCAAAAATGGCTGTACTGACAGAATTTTTGTTTTCCTCAGTCTTTCCAAGTATCCAAAGGCAGAGGTAAAGCTATATCTGTAACAGGCCATGGAGGCCCATAGTTTTGAGACATCAAGGCTCTCACATTTTCTAGATGGTTGGCAGCCTTACGTGACAGCTGCCCTTTACCCCCCAGAAAGATTCCAGGTACTCATTTCTGCTAGAGGCTGAGTCAACCCCAGGGCCATAGTGCAGCTAGAAGGATTAGGCCAATTGAAAAATCCAATGACCTCATCAGGAATTGAACCCATGACCTTCTGGCTTGTAGCATATTATGACCACTTCTTTTCACATCCTTTCCAATTCATTATTCACTAATCAATCTATCACTGTTGTTTATTCTGAGCATCATTAAATAAACATACAAACCACAAGTCTTATCTTTTCACTGATTTTCAGATTGGTCACTCTGGTGATTTGCCACGAACTCTCTGTGATGACTATGAAAATGATGTTGAATTCCTGAAGAAAGCACATCATGTTTTACTTGAGGTGAGGATTATGTAACTCCTTATTGTACAAAAATTTGGTCGGAAAGCAAAGATCATTTTTTTTTGCGGCCCTTGCACCGTACCAGATCACAGCACCTTCTTATGATTACTAAATTTATTAAAAAATAACTTCATAATTTTATTGTCAAATGTAGCAGGGAATGGCACAGAAATGTATGTCTTCAGTATAAATAAGTGATTGTATTAATGTGAAATTATACTATAATCTTTTAACATCAATGAGCAGAAATCAGTTTTGCTTTGCTCCTTCCTCCAGGTTGAAGTCATCAATGGAGAGTTGGTCTGTCCAGAATCAGGAAGGAAATTTGCCATCAACAAAGGAATTCCAAACATGCTCCTTAATGAAGATGAACTATGATTCAGAGCAACATGCCTGTTGCACAAAATGACAACAGTCTCATTTTTCTGTATTTAATACTGTTATTATGAATGACTGTGTATAATGAAGTTATGTGACCTTGGACTTACTGATAGTGACTAATGTGGTATTAAATTTTTCAGTTTGAAAATTGTATTTCACATTATTTAGCTCATCATGTTTCTAACCCTTTCCACAATAGTGTCTCAGGTATGAACTGTTAACATGTTCAGTATGTTTCTGCACCACTTCGTAAATACCATGTTTACTGCAGTCAAATAAATATAGTAATCATTAATGTAGAGTGCCATGCCATCTCTTGTGGTTTTTACATTTTGTCATTGTTTTGTATTTGTTTACTGAGCAAATAATTCCATTCTGTTATTAAAGATAATATTCTGATGTTTATGCTTAACACATAATTAAATTGCTATGATCTGACCTAAGAGAACTCTGACTTTGCAGCTAAGACATTCATGCTAACTGCATTTCAAGTGTACTCCCATGCCGTAATTATATTTTGTAAGCATTATAAATACTTTCATTTCTGAATGTGACCGTTTCTTATTTAAATAAAGTAAATGTCCAAATAACTAGACTTCTTCCCACCTTCCAATGTGCACATACTAAAAGGCACGTTCCACAAATTCCCATATGTAGTTCCACATTTTTAAGTCATCTGTACAAAATGGAGACTTGTCACACTGATACCCTAGATCAACCTTTCTCATCTGGGGTTCCTGGGACCCTAGGATTCCACAAAGAGCATTAAATATATATAAAAATATGTTTTCAGATTCACTCTTCTGTGTATTTATATTAATAACATTACATGTTGGGTGTATAACGCGACAAATAACTTCACACCTTACTGGATATAGCGAATTTTATTTCACATTCACTCTTACAATCACACAATTTACAGATCCACAACTACTGCTATCTGCAGTATTATAATTGCTTGACTGCATACTCTTCCCTGGCCAACTCGTAACTTAACTCGAATAGTCTTCGCTGCTCCTTATTTAGCCCTGTTCTGGACAACACAGAAAACAGCCACGTAATAGGCACCATTGTTGTCTGGCACCGTGTTTACCGGTGTTACTGGTAACGCTGTTGGGAGTTGTTTACGGCTGCATAGCAAACGCGGCATCCCATGGCCACGTCACCGTTGGCAGGGTAGGGGAAGGAGTGTTGACTTGCCTGCTACCCTAGTAACGACAGTGCTCCGATGGTGTTACGTCACCACTGGCAGGGGGAGGGGTGTCCTGCATAGTGCAACATGTCACAATAATGATCACTACAGCTATTTCCCAGATCAGGAGGATTTTTGTTTTATTGCTAGTGAGTTGGGACTAAGTCCCTTGTACTGCGTCCACTTCTGGCCTATTGTACCAGCCCCAGATGATAGGTGAGGGTAATTGTGGAGCAATTGGTAGAATGAAGATTGGCAGGGGAAACTGAAGTATTTGGGGGGAAGCCTGCCCCAGTGCCACTTTGTCCACCACAAATCCCACTTGACCAGACCTGGGATCGAACCCGGGCTGCCATGGTGGGAAGCCAGCGACTAACCGCTTGAGCTATTATGTGGCCCTAGATCTGGAGTTTACAACTTACAGCAAAAGAATATTGGCTTATTACCTTTTATAATCAGAATTTTCTATAGTTATTCAGTAATTAAATGAGTTATTTGATAATTTCAATAATCAACAGCAGTTAATGTTTAATAGGAAACAAGTGCATCAAAATTGAAATATACAGTTCATTGTAATCATTCTCATTCTTTTGTGGTAACTTATATCGGGGGATAGACCGAATGGAGGTAGACATGAATGGGGTACCGACATTTGGTGATTGGTAACACCATCAAGGAATACTGCACATGCTTGTAAACGTTGCATAAGGTGGATTTTATAGGTTAGAAGCATTGTGAAGTTTTCATATTTTTTTTGTGATTTTCTCATTTAGTTATCTATTATACCATTCTTTTTTATATTTTATTAACCCTTGTGTTTTATAGAAATGTCTGACAGTCCCACATGGCAGTTCTTTTGAAGAGGAGGCATGTGATCATAGGCATACAGACAATTCTGATTAGGTTAGTGATGAAGAATCACAAGCTTCTGACAAATTTCACGGCACTAGTGCAACAACAGACAAAAAAATGAAAGAACAAACACAAACACATTGAAAGATACTTAACCATGGCTTTACATGGACTGGAGATTCAAGTTTTCCTATTCCATTGTGCCTCATCTGTGGCAAATGACTTACAAATGCAGCAACGGCTCCAACAAAACTGAAATGACACTTGCCTAAAAATCACAGCCACATGACTAGTAAAAGTGATTATTTTAAATGGCTACTGGAATCTCAAAACAGAGTAAAGCTTTTGTTAGTGAAGTCACAGTGGAAAAGCTCAGGAAACAAGTTATTTAGTAGTAGAACTTATTGCCCAGAAAAGGAAATGTCACAGTTGGTAAGAACCCAATAATACCAGCAAGTAAAATTTTAGTGGATAAAATGCTGGGACAAGCTGCAATACGAGAAATTGAAAATGTTCCATTTTCCAACACTACCATAAATAGATGTACTGACATGTCACATGATGCTTAAGAGATTTTTACATGATAAACTGAAAAATAAAAACAGTTTCTCTCTCCAAGTTTGGTCAACAGATACCCTCAATAAAAGTCATTTTATAGCATTTGTAAGATTTGTAAATGATGGTGAAATTCAAGAAAACTTTTTGTGTTACAAAGAGCTGCCCATATCTGGAAACAAAAGGTGTGTCTTGGGAGAACTCTGTATGCATCTATACTGAAGAGGTCCCATTAGAGGTTCCATCTCACTTGTAAAAAAAAGAAAATCCTGACATCACAACACATTGCTTTATTCACAAAGAAGCGTTGGTGTCAAAAACTCTTGGAGATGAAAAAAGTTTTTGATAATGCTACAAAAATTAACGTTATCAAACAAGGACCAGTTCATTCCACAATGTTTAAAAAACTGTTTGAAAACTGGGCAAATAGCACATAAATCTCCTGCTACGTACAGAAACCTGGTGCCTTAGCAGAGGAAGAGTTCTCAGCAGGGTGTTGAATTGCAAGATTACTTTCAAGAAAACAATAGGCCAGATTTTGCAAAATGTTTTGAAGATGAAGATGGGTTGGAGAAATTAGCCTACTTAGCAAACATTTTTCATCATATGAACCAGTGGAAAAAGTCTCTCCAAGGCCCTGGAGAAAATGTTTGACCTGAAGTGACAGGATTCTTAGAGTTAAAAGGAAAGTGAATGTTTGGAAAAAATCATGGTGTGAAAGGAAATCACGAAATGTTTCCACTGCTGCTGGTGCTTCAGAGTGAAGGACATCAGCAAGTCTTGTCTTATTGAAAATCACCTTGAAGAACTGTGGAACAAAATTAGACATTATTTTCACTCCCTTTCAACACAAGTGTACAACTGGCTCAAGAACTCTTACCCTGAATCATCTGCTCAGCCTGAGAACTGAGGAGGAAGAACTTCGTGAGCTGAAGTCTGATCATACACTTAAGATGAAATTTACTGACCTATCCCTGGACAAGTTCTGGATTTTTGTGGGAGAAGAGTATCCTGCCATTCACAAGAACACAACAGAAATGATTGCTGCAGTTTTCAACTTCTTACATGTGTGAGCAAGCTTTTTCTTGTTTAATAAGCATCAAGAGCACAGATAGAGGTCATCTCTTTTTCAGTTGAAGATGATCGTGTGCACTTACCTAAAGTTTCACCCAGATTGAAGTATTTGTGAAGCAAAAAGCAAGCACAAGTTTCACATTACAGAAATAAATTTTATTCATCATTTTAGTTTAAAAAATAACACTGTCTTAGATCATACTTTTGTTCATAATGCTTTGATCAATCTTATGGTTTTCAGTAAACTTACTATTCAATATTGTCAATATTCATGTTGTAAATAGCAGTAATTAAGGTCAATCTACAATCTTTCTTTACACTAAATCCAGAGTCTACCTTTACAATTTTTATGCAGGGTTTTCCTGAGACTTGAAAATTATTTCAAGGGTTCCTTCAAGGTAAAAAGGTTGAGAAAGGCTACTCTATATCAGTGATTCCAAACTTTCTGATGTTATGTCCCCCTTTTGGTTTTCACCAAACCTTCATACCCGCTGCTTTTGTTTCATGGAAATAAATATAAGAATTCACATTCTTAAAATGCAAATTATGGTGCTCTTTGGTAATGAATGATGCTGAAGTGTTGTTTCTGAGTTGCTCTAATTGATTTTAATATCCGGATTAAAGAACCTGGCATCTGCTTATGGAAGAAAACAGTTAAATGCAACTAAAAAGAATTATTTAAGCAGACACTGACATGTTGACTGAGAAGTTATTGTACTATTACTGTTTATGAATTTCATTAAGGATGCACATAGAAGATTAATCAAATATATACATAGATGCAACCATTAAGTAAGGATTTATTAAAGTTATGTGATATAAGAAATAGGCAATTTCATTATCTCAGTAATTTATTTAAAACAATATCCAGGTAAAATATGTACATTAGCTAGACTATTAATTTCACTTCCTAAATGAATCAATTTGCTTACATCCTTATCACAATGTTCATTTTTATGCTGTATACATTGTGTAAGATTGTATGTTGTCCAGGTTATTGCTATATTTTCAATTTAAACCATAATGAAAAGAATATTGTTCTATGTTGCAACATGTCCTCTACTTCCTGATCCTTCCCCATATCAAAGTGTCAGTTTAAATTATGATCATGTTTGTTTTCAAAACATGACTTTAGATAACAAAGATGGAAAACCAATCTGATATTTCATTGTTTTTTCTTACACTGCACTGACAAGTTTCATATTCTAAATAAGATGTGAAAATCACAATCTAAGTATACCTAATTTATTTTCTTATGCTGATTAAATAATATTAAAATGCCAACATATTTCGGCCATAAATGACCATCTTCAGTGGGGAATACCAGATATTAAAGGAAACTACACAATTTGTATGTATGAATAAGATTTAAAATGTCAGTCATAAAATGTTTATAATAATTTAAAACTAGTATTATATTGAGGAATGATGCAGGTAAACCACAACAAATAACCACAATTGTAAACCAGTCTGCAGTGTTCAGCGAAATAACCAGCAACTGTGATTGACAGATGCAGTTAGAAGGAATAAATAATAAACAGATAGCTAGAAATAAAAAGGAATGCTAAAGGAACTCCCAAAAAAAGGAATAGTACTATTAACCTACATCTTTAATGGAATAATCATGTCCTACTGGCCTAAACAGTTTAAAATCTCACAAATAATCACGATAGCTAAACCACGAAAAGATCCAACAGAAATCACTTCATACTGCCCAATCAGCATCATATCAGTGTTGTCTAAAGGTTTTGAAAACTCAGACTTAGAAGAATAAACAAAGACTTGAGGCCTGAAGAATGGGTTCCACACCACAAACTTGGATTTCGTCAAGGCCACTCTACCATACAGCAGATTCATCGAATAACAAATATATTCA